AGGGTGACGACGCCACAATGTGCTAGACCCCATTGGGAGTAAGGTGCTGCAACTCCACCTGGTAGTAATCTAACAGCCCTCGAATGAACTTGTGAGCAGGTATGGCGAATCCCCGCTCATGGAAGTGAGCAAAGCACACGACATACCCTTCGAGCGGTGATGGCTCGTCCTCATTGCCGGGCAGCCGCCACTCCTCGGTGGCGGTCAGTGGGCGAAGGAGGCCACGGTGAACAAGGCCCTCCAGGCGCTGAGGGGTGATGTTGGATCTGCACCACGACTCCATTGAAACAATTGGGAGGGGGGTGGATGTCAGTTTAATGGTGGCTGCGATGTGGATGCGAGCTTGACGGCGACTGCGATGCGAGTGCGGGAGGCTTAGGCGATTGGTGGCGGATGTTGTCGATGTGAACGTGAGGAGGCAAAGTACGGAACCCTAGGGGCAAAACCCTTGGCTTTATAGGGGCGACGGATGTGAGAAGAGCAACCACCTGCCTAGGTCTTCGATCCTGCCACGATACACTACCTCATCATGTCACGGGATATGCGCCTACGATCCGTATCCTTTCCCACCAAAATCACGCCGGACGTTTCGCCTTTCCCACGTAGATCAGGACTTTTTCCCATAGAGGGGATACAGGTCAAAAAGCTTTTCTCTAGCTCGCCTGGGCCCAGGAGTTCAAGGGCTGGCCCAACAGTCTCGACGGTCGTCCCAATGAGGGATGGGCCCATGAGCGGCCAGAACTCAGGCACACAAGCCTCAAGGAAACCTCGATGCGCAATCAAGTCCCAACCGGGCTAACACAAGATGAATCCCCGCGAACGGGATACCAGGGTTTCCTTTAAACCGTCCAGTTGACAAAAACCAGATCTCACAGCAATACCCGCTGAAGGGTCCGAAATTACCCCCTGAGCGATTCTATCCAAATCACCCGGGGGCTCGGGGGCTACACCCGATGGGTGCGCTCACACGCCCCCTCTGGCGATTCTGCCTGAATCACCCGGGGGCTCGGGTTCTACACCCATCGGGTGCGCTCGCGCGCACCCTCTGGTAAGTCAAAATACCCCCCGGGCAATTCTATCCGAATCACCTAAGGGCTCGGGGGCAACTGTCGGGGACCTAATACCGGGGTACCCAATGAGGTGGAATTAATAACCATCGAACATTGACGCTTCCGGTCAGATAAGAACGCTACTACACTTCTTGCCCGAACGACGGAAGATTGGTTCCGCCTTGCTCGACCCCCAAGGGCTAAGACTCCACCTCGCCCGATGTCCGAGGGCAGGCTCCGCCTCGCTTGACGGCTGAGAGGAGGCCCCGCCTCGCCCGACGGCTAAGGGTAGGACCCGCATCGCCCGACGTCCGAGGGCAGGCTCCGCCTCGCCCGACGTCTGAGGGCAGGCTCCGCCTCGCTCGACGTCTGAAGGCTGGCTTCGCCTCGCCCGACAACTGCACCCTGCTCCTTCATAAAGATGAGCACAGGGTACAACAGGACATTCGAGGCAACCACAGTACCGAGGGCCATGCACTGCATGCCTATAGGAAGGTACTGTCAGGATACGATGGGACGGGTGCTTTAGGCCCTTGCCGACCTGACAGAGCCTGAACAGTGTTGTAGGCGTCGACTTTTGTCCCACAGTGTTGTAGGCGCCGCCATCAGCCCTCGGACGCGGATACTAACACAAGCATATGACAACCACTACGATCCAAGATAGAACTCACATCATCTATAGTGACGGATGTATGGTCACTTCCCCGTCTACTCCCCGAAGGGTCACAGCTCGGCTCTCTGGCACGTCGCACCGTCCGCCGTTGTAGGATGGGACGCACCCACTTACTGAAAGAGGCCAGGGCATGGCCCTATAAGGATCAGCGAACACGCCATCCCTAACACGGTCTGCCATGTTAGCAGGGCAGACACATGGGAAAAGGAAGACCCGGCTCCCTCGAAGGACCTTCTCTACCTTTGGTTTTTCCTCTTTCTCCCATCTGTAACCCCTACTCCCCCCTTGGTCTATAAAATGGAGGGCAGGGCACCCCACTAAGGGGACCGATCGTTTTGATACGCAAGACAACGAATCAATTCGACACACAACACAAAGCCAAGCAGCAACCGAGCTCTTGGCATCCTTTCGACCTTTCCATCAGAGACTTAGGACATGTCCCTCTCTCGACCATTTCTAACCCCTACTATGAACCTTTTTTCGGTACTAATAACATAAGCAGTAGCAAACTAGACATAGGGACATTCTGCTCGAACCAGTATAAACCTTGTGTCCTTTAGTACACCATCCGAGCCTAACGCGTAACAATTATAAATTTACTAGTTGGTGTTTGTTCGAAACACCGACAACCGTCTATCACTGTCTGTTGAAGACATGAACCAGCAGTGATAGACCATCCATCATTGCCGGTAGGGGCAAATCTATAGGGTATTCGAGGTATGCACTGACATACCCTGCAAGTCCAGCGAGTACAGAGTACATATATTATATGTGTAGATTTGAGAAAAAAACATACTTGGAAAGTGATGAGCGGCCGTGTGGCATGACCAGCGGCTGTGAGGCGTGTAATGCTTTCCGCTCACCACTCGCGAGGGCCATTCCACATTCCACTTCGCAGGCCCACGGACTCGCTTGGTGGTGACGCGGCCTATGGCCATAGCCCCCACATGACGTGACTCTAGAGAGGCCCCACGGTGACGCCTTGGCCACACAACAGAACGGAACCTAGCTCATCAATCATGATACAATATTTTTCTTTCACAACAAATCAGCTTCAGCCGACTTATCAGCCGCATAAACCCAGCCGAACAGCTCCACATGGCTCGGACGTTGTCCCCACGGCCATATATAGCCCCCACATAATGTGACTCCAAGTATTGTCCTTACCTCCTCCTCCTCTCTCTCTCTCTTATGTCTAAACTTGGAGTAGTATTATAAGTCTTTTGCACTCTTTTATGTCTAAACTTTGAACTGACATGCGTTTAAATTTAAAACTTATTGTGTTATTGAGTGTGGGTATATCGAATTACGTTATAATTCTACAATTATTACCGAATTCAGAAATGGTTTTACCGAATTGTATATGAAACTTTTTTAGCGGCATACCCTAAGATAAAATCCTTGATCCGCCACTGCTGCCAGTTGTTCTATTATTACTGATTGAAGCCATGAACAGGCAATAATACCATATCATTGTCGGTTCTAAATGCAACCAGCAGTGATTATCGTTTCTGGTGTAGTGGTAGGACCTTTGACGGACAGCAATCTCGACGTTTCGCAACTATGGGATTTCATCGACGCTAGTGGTGGCAACGGGAAGCAAGCATTTTCGGTGGAGATCGCGAATAGGGAGGAGAGAGAGGAGGTAAGGACAGGCGTGACTCCGAATATTCGAACAATTGTAGACTCCTACCACTTGAAGGACGTTGCCCATAGTAACTGGCTCTTGGCTTATGAGGTATGTTGTCCTGACAAGACAGAGTACAATGTAAGCCACTACCGGCACGCGCTGCTCCATCCACTGTTAAGGTCTTCACCCACATATTTGACGACGGGCACGGTGTGCGTTTCCGCACGACTCGAGCAAAGTAGCATTTAGGTACAATTTGACAATGTTTGCAAATCTCATCTAGAGAAAGTTAAATCTGCCTTGGAGGGCACATGCTCTCACACATGAAGCCGTCGATGAGTGAACTTGGGATACGTGCCATTTTTACCTCACGAATTAATTAAATTTGAAATACACCGCATATATAGTGGAGCCCACAACATTGAATGGGCCTATACAATGTGGCATGGGTTGGCGCTGCACGGCTGATCTTATCCTCTCCTTTGCCCCCATTTGCTTTCCTCTTCATCTCTCTCCGTCCCTCCCGTACCAAGAAGCGGCGCCCGGCTCTGGATGGCGACGTCAGCGCCCGCGCCCCTAGCTCGTGCATGTGCGGTTGTGCGGGGCCTGGCATAGGCCCTTCCCTCGGCGTGCGGTCACCCCTCCCCTCGCCCCGGTGGTGGCGCCCAGGTCGCGTGCCCCCCCAGTGGCAACGTCCGTCTCCGGCGCCCCACGAGTACACCCGGCGGAGGCAGTGGCCCTCCCTCGGCGCATCACGACAGCGCCCCGAAGCACGGTCGCCCCTCCCCCTGCAGTACTAGTGCCTCCCTCGTCTCCATCTCCGGCAGCTCTCTCCCTCCCTCGTCTCAATCTCCGGTGAGCTTAGAAGAGAAGGGGCTCAGGGGAGGCAGGGCTGGCTAGGCGGTGGGGACGGCACGAGGGTGGCATTAGGGTTTTAGCGGTGGTGGAGGCAGCCAGGTCAGGTCGGGACAGGGACATCACGGCGGTGCTCGCCGGCGAGCATGGCCATGGTGGCGGTGGGGGTTGGGGGGAGTAGGAGGACAGGGTCGAGGATGAGGAGGAGGGCGAGAAAGGGCACGGGGAAGAAAAATAGTAACCCGCCCTCTCCTGGCGCACCGAGACAGGCAGCGGCGGCGCTGTGAATAACTGTGTATTTGTATACGTTTCCCATGGAGCATACTATGAGCTAGAGTAAAAATGGCACACATCTTGAGTGCACTGATCAACGGCTGCGGGCGCGGGAGCATGAGCCCTTATGGGCAGAATTTCCGTCTGGTCTGACCGATTTGGAAAAATGGCCATGCTGGTTTCCTAGGACACACCCAAGATTAAGTCAACCACGGACATATGGGCCGGTTCTTATATTTACGGCTAATTTCCTTTCTGCTAGTATACGGCTACGTGCCCTTTATAAATAGATATGTATGCGAATCCAACGACTTAGTACCTAGGGGCAGCATTTAACTTTCCCATACGGTTTTTTTCCCTTAAGGCATGTGCTCCCAACACATCTATTATTGGATTCGCATTGAGATGTGTGCATACAAGCATCTCAATGCAAATCTAACGGCGCACATGCCCTTAAGGGCACATTTAACTTTCCCTCAAGTAGTATTAGAGCAGTCCTGATTCACAGTCGTATGTATCACTAACTTGACTGGGCGAGTTGCATGAAGTTGATAGGAGTAGTGTACTTAGACGGTCCGTCGTAGAACGCTTGGGCGATGAGAAACGCAGTCCACTGGTCACGGTTGACGCAGAGCGTGGAGTTGCGCGTGCACCACGCCTCCGCGCCCAGCCGCCCGACCCCGCAGCACGTGCTAGCGACGTCGGTGTACCCTGACGCCCCTGGGTTCGCCAAGATGTCCTCTGTGAAGCCGAAGGAGTCGCCGAGGGAGTAGACGAGGCCCGGCAGCCTCGAGGCGAGGTCGACCAGCAGGGACCCCAGGGCTTCGTTGAAGCCGGCGACGACCTGGTTGAGGATGTCCGAGCATGCGCCCGTCGGGCTGAGCACGCGCTCCCCGGGCACGCATCCGAGCAGCCAGACGTTGATGATGGCGAATTTCCTGGCGCCCAGCGAGTACACCTCCGTTACGGTGGCGGAGTAGTTGGAGATGAGGCTGCCGTAGAGCGCGGCGGCGGCGTCCCTCCGCTGCTCTGCGTCTGACCTGTTCTGCACCCGCTCCGAAGCCGCGAAGACGTACAGGTCGTTGTTGCCCATGCCGATGAGGAAGATGGACCTGGAGATCACTGGGTTCACCGTGTCGGGACCCACTGCGGCGACCATCTTGGCCTTGGTGGCGCCGAAGTATTTCACCTCCTTCGACAACGGGACGGTGTTTCCGGCATTCTGCATCCATATATACAGTATATATGCACGTTCGATAACTACACTGGAGTAAATTCCTTCTTTTTTTTACTAGTTTGATTTGATCCGACGATGTCAAATATGCTTACAGTGGAGTCAAGGATCCCTGCTCCTCCAGAAGCGTAGTTGATACCACTGGTGAGAGCGGTCTGGACTGATAGACATAATAGGAGCTCTAGGTGCAGATAAGTGGAAATTTTTTAACTTAGATAAACAGATTTGGTAATGTACCTCGTCGAGTGCAGTCGCTGTCGTGGTGCCGCCAACAAGATGGCCGCGACGTGTCGGAGTAGGAGAAGCCGTGAAGGCGCCCGCAAGGTTGTCGACGGTAGCAGCAGCGTAGGCGCGAACTAGTTGCGGTGACGAAAGCGGTGGCGCTTCTCGTCGCTCACAGCGCGTCCTCTCGATCGGACTAGGGTTAGAACATCGGTGAGGCGTTGGCGGCTACGGTGAACCTCGTACCTTTTGCCCCGACCCCCACCTTTATAGCTCTGCGCGACGGGAGTCCATCAGCTAGGAAAACAGCTGGGCGCCCCCGAACAGGATGCGGATCAAGGGCCCAATTGACCGTTGGGCCAACTAGTGGAGATCAATCTAATATTCTCTCCCTTGATCTCACCTTATGACTTTAACTTAATTTACTTTAATTTTTTTCCATTCCATCGCATATCAGTGCATAGAGCGTGCCTCATCGTCACGGTCAGTTGCCTTTAGATTAAACAGCTACAATGCACCTCTCTGTTTTGAAACATATTCTCAACTAGGCCCTTAGTATCCAGAAATCATAGGCTTTCTCGTAAACCCATGTCGACTGTGTGTTCTCTGAACGCACTGGGTGGTTAGCCTTTGTTAAGCGGATCCGCAAGTACTTGCTTGGTACTTATATGCTCAATGCTTTCAAAATGATTCTGAATTTTCTCATTTACAACATGTAACTTAATGTCAATGTGTTTGGCAGCACACTTGATCTGTTGTCTTACGAGTTAACTACTTTAAATGGTTATAACTGTTGACTACCATTGTTAAATCCGGGTACATATTCTCTTAACCACTTTTGCCTGTTCCTAAGGCCTCATGACAAACTATACTATGGTATGCATCATTGATGACACCACAACTGTTTTATTGGAGCTTTTCCACAATAATACTCCAACTGTGAGTGTTAGCAATTACCGTGGATTTCACTACACATCTTGCCAAAACTTAACATTTATACCCACAACTATTTGAGACTACTTGTTCTTTCTTACTCAGCATGAGGCCTATGATACTTTGCAAAAATTGCAAGACATTCTTAATTCCATTCCAGTGATCTATATATGGACTGGACTTCTGCCAAAATATCCCGGATACGTAAGCTACGTTAGGGTAAGTTCTTACTTGTACATTCATTAAGCTTCCAACAGCTGAAGCATATGGAACCATGTTCATTTGATCGATCTCATATCGGTTTCTGGAACACTGAAAGTTCTCAAATCTATTACCTTTGACTATAGGAGCAAGCGTAGATTTACTCGTATGCATACTTTATTTCTTTAGAATCTTTTCTAAGTATGTCTTTGCGATAGTCTTAATACCCCTTTTCATCTATGTCGGTGAATTTTAAATCCTAGAACCAATGAGGCTTTACTAAGATTATTCACAATGAAACTTGAGAACAAAGACTTCTTCTTCTCCAATGGCAGATTAATATTTCTACTAGTGAGTAGGATGTCATCTATACATAGGATGTGGAAAAAGAATTTTTCATTCTTGAACTTCACATAAACGCTATTGTCCTTCTCATTTTCTTTAAACACAAACTTTATTATCGTTTCATCAACTTCAAATACTACTGTCTAGAGACTTGTTTTAACCCATAAATGGATTTCTACAGGCGGCATCCCATACATTTTTTTCTTCCACGATAAAACCTTTGGGTTGTGCCATGTAAATGTTTTCATACAAATCCCCATTGAGGAATGCCGTCTTTACATCCATATGATGTAACTCTAAATCGTAATGTGCCAATAACACCATTATGATTCTAAAAGAATTCTTGCATGAGACTGGAGAGAAAACTCTCATCGTAATCTATTCATTCTCTTTGCGTAAAGCCTTTTGCTACAAGTCATGCTTTATATCTTTCCACATTCCTTTTGGAGTCACATTTTGTCTTGTAGACCCTTTCACAGCCTACTATTTTAGCTCCATTAGGAATTTCTTCTAAGTCCCAAACATCGTTGGTATTCATCGAATTCATTTCAACTTCCATAGTTTCTTGCCATTCAAACGAGTAAACGCTTCTCATGGCTTCTTCAAATGAGGTGGGATCACCCACTTTTTGAATTTCTTCACTAACATAGACTTCATAGTCATCAAAAAACTAGTTTACTAAGTCTTTGAGACCTCCTGGGGCCTCAGCTACTGGCACTTTCGTGTGGGGCTATTGTTGCTCTTCATTGCCAAGAGACAGATGATTCTACAGGCTTCTGTATCACAAGATTCTTGTTTATATTATTCATCTTCTTCGAAGAGCCAACAATAGGTGTTGTATAAGTCATATAACATCAACAGGTATCGAGAAATTCGTTGTTTTGAATCATTGAAGTGGGCACGTAGTCCCGCTTCTCTTCAAATCATAGGTCTCTACATACCGTGTTCCCCTAGATCGTCCAATCTTTTATAAAGATAGTGTATCTTTCAATTTCTTATTTGGGTTCAATTTGTTAAAACCTTATATGCCACTTTAAACACCGCTTTAATATCTTTGATGGTGACTACTCTATCTTTCTCTCGGAACTTTAAAAAATCCAGGCATTTAGTTGTTTCTCTACTTAGGGGTATCATTGTTATGACCGACGGTCATATTCGTCAAAATCTTTATCTCACTCAGTTTCTTACAAAATCTGTATCTCACTCTTAATGAAGAGTGCACATTCATCAACATCTTTATCTCACTCTTAATGAAGAGTAGTTTCTTAATTGATCTTAATTCTTACTCTTAATTCATCTCACAATTTTCCCCCTCGAAATATGGCATAAACTATACTGCCATAATTTTGAGAACTATTTAGAAAACTGTGAACAAGGAGACACTTATGACTTACTTCATTCACATGATTATGCCATGCAAATAAAGTTATTTCTTGATCCGTATAGGAGTACACTTTCCTCATTCCACTTCAAGAACTCGACGAGGTCTTTTATTAACTGTACTTTTGCAAGTCACGCTTGAATCTTTTTCTTGTCCTTTGATTAGTATTGACCATGACGGTGTATTTCTATTGTGCCATGGTCAATACTAGGATAGCATATAAGCTACCCAAATTTCTCTCGCTATGCGGGATACAAAAACATATGAGTCATCACAAAACTTCTCCCACCATGCAGGATTGACTAGCATAAGTACTATGCCAAACTTCTCCCCATATGGGATAAATCTATCTATAAATTACCATAACAAAAAATTTAGTCATAATGACTAAAACATTCACTTATACTTTATTTTCTAATTAAATCTCCCCATTGGTTCCAATTTAATTAGAAAATTAGTAAACTAACAAAAAAAATCTATTATAAACTGCTTGACTCAAGCCTTTTCATTCACATACCCCAGCATTGCAACCCATTGGTATGCAGCCGAGTGATCTCGTCGGTTAAAAAATAAAACTTACAAGATGCTTCTGCAACAATTCTACATTATCATTGGGCAAAAAATAGAATTAATGCATAAAACTCATAAATTAACTTGAAAGACATATAACTACTCTTCAAAAATTAATTTCTCCCATTTGGTTCGAATTTAATTAGAAGATAATCAACATCATTACAGCGAAATACGATAATAAAATACATTCTATTAGTTCTGGAGCAATTCTTTGTCTTTATCTACTCTCTGAAAAATTGACCATGTTGGTGCAAGATTTATCAGAGATTTAAACTTTAACCTTAAACTCATTATAATTTTGTTATGATCAACGTTGGTCAGAAAATAATAATACCATAATTTAACATAAACAAATCGGACTACTCCTCTAATTTAATTTTTTCTGTTGGTTCTAATTTAATTAGAAAATAAACATAATCATAATTTACTAAAAGTAACTGCTCTTCAAATTAAATTCTCTCGTTGGTTTGAATTTAATTAGAAGATAATCAGCAATAAACTTTGTAGCGGAAACATGAAATAAAAATTGTTTATCTACTTTTCAGAACCATTTTACTATACTAATCTACTCTCTATAAAATTATTCCCATTTGTTCAAATTTGGACAGAGATTGAAACTGGACAAAAAATCATCAAAATTTGCTTCTGAAAATAATAAACAAAAAACTCAGTGTTTACTATTCATTTGGCCCGGCCTGTTGGAAGATGTTTACCCGATCATTTTTATGTCCATCAAGACGACCCAATGGCGCCTCAACACGGCGCCGCGTGCCGATCCCCGCGCCCGAGGCGCAACTTGGCTTGGGCTGAAATTCGCTTGCCCACGTAATGATCTTTGGCCCGAGCGACGCCGACCGTTGGATCGCATTAGACGGCCATCCGCGCTCCTCGCGAGATCAAAACGCCGCCATGGCCGGTTCACTCAAATCCTAAGTCATTTCTCTTCTCCCTCTGTCCTCTCCACACAGCGGCGGAAAAGCGAGAGCAGCGGAACGGTGTCGCCGCCGGTCCCCTCGCCGGCGCACGCGCTCGCCCTAGGCTGAGTGCGCCACCATCGAGCGGTCTGGGCGACGGTGCCCTATTCCTCCATATGCACTATGGTGGGGCTCTTCCCTAAACCCTAGCTCCTATTCTTTCTCCTCAGTGCAACAGACATCGAAGAGAAGAGTGCGGATGGCCGTAGAGCGGTCCTGTGTCAGCGCCCTAAGCCCTCGCGACGGCGGGTTTCTTCCCACGCAACGGTGGTGGTGACGGCGGCAGGAAGAACTGGGTAGGTCCTCCCCTTCTCTGTCTTTACTTTCTAGGGTTAGGGTTAGGGTTTCAGATTTGGGGTTTCAATCCGATTCAAATCACCTCCTTCTGAATTTCTTCGTGATTTCTACACCAAAGGCTAGATCTACACACTAGGACCATGGCTCTGATACCATTGATGGTATTTATAGGATCATCTAGGCGTAGATCAATGGGTAAAACTTCACTTAGACAATACCTTGTCGATTGCAGTCGTTGCCGTGGCGTCGCCAACAAGGTGGCCGTGACATGTTGGTGTAGGGGAAGCCGTGTAGGCGATCGCTAGGTCATCGACGGTAGCAGCAGCGGCGAAGGCGGTGGCGCTTCCCGTCGCTCACAGCGCGCCCTCTCGATCGAACTAGGGTTAGGATGTCGGTGGGGCGCTGGCGGCTACGGTGAACCTCGTACCTTGCGCCCTGGCACCCACCTTCCTTTTTATAGCGTTGTGCGACGGGGGCCCATCTACCAGGAGAACGGTTGGCCGCCCCCGATCAAGGTGCGGATCAAGGGCCTAATTGGCCGTTGGGCCAACTGGTGGAGATCAATCTAACATGGACCAGAGGGCTGGATGAGCTATGTGCCAGCGATAGATAGGGAGGAGGGCTACACGCGAATCCCATGTTCTTGGCTGCAGACATCAAAGCACTACATGTTTTCAAGATATAAACTAACATAGGCTCAGTCAACTAGACATACACAAGCACATGATCAATGAAGTTTAGCATAGTATGCAGTCCATATGCATTAGCAGGAAGACAGAAACATATCATGCATGTTCATAAAGTTAGATGAATGGAGGAACTAAATCCCTTACCGATGTAGTCGGCGATGTTGTAGCCGTTGCTGAACCTTTCGATGGGGATGGAGCCCGAAAAGTCGACGCCGTTGTAGGGGCTGTTGGCCCTATCGACGGCTGCCCCCCGCAGGTAGTTGTTGTTGCCGACATCCAGTATCGACGACCTGAACACGAACATCTCCGGTGGCCGAGCACCACCGCCGGCAGCGACGGTGCTGATGAGCGCCTGCATACATACCACAAGGCACGGTAGAAGAACCCCCTTCTCCTTCGTTGCCTGCTTCTAGGCTCTCTAGCCCAATCCTTTATATTCCTCAAAAAAGGGAACAAAAACTCGTGACTTGTCTTTTTTTTAAACTATAAATCATCACTTGTCAGTCTCGAACGAGTCAACAAAGGGGTAGGTGTAGACTCATGTAATGCACACCGAATTTTTTATTTTTTAACCCTTTTTTGAAAAAAAAATCACAAATATGCCCCTAGAGATAAGATTTCAAAATCTGGACCCTTAGCTCGGCCCCATCATTGCTGGCGCCGAGATCTTGGGCTCGACGCAGACGTGGCGGTGACTTGGCAAGCAGCTCGGCGCCATAGATCCTGGCATAGATCCTAGCGCCGTAGATCTTGGCGCCGAGGTGGTGTTTTAACCTCGGCCCCAACCTTCCTGCTCGAGCCTTCTTCCTCTTCTTTGTCCTCTCTCTCAGGTTTTTTCTCTCCCCATGCCTAATTAAATGAATGCAACAAATATGAAATACTGAAAACAACCAATAGTCGCACCTCACTAATCTACCAATGGCAACTGCGTGAATTGTGGCCATGTCTACCACACTTGCCGCACTCGTACTGCTCAAGGTCAGTAAGAAATGGGGTTCCACTCCCACACCTCATTCTTTTAGGTATCTGATCCATAACCATCCTGTGCCTCATCCTCTTCCTTGATCCACGCTTGTTCCAACGGTAAGCTGGATCCGCAATGTACTTTGGCCCATCATATGGAGGCCACTTTCTAGGGTCCTAGAAAGGCATGAAGCGGGGGCTTCATGTGTGCACAAGCGTGTTGACACTAAACTCGTGAGGTATCCTGCTCTTGATATTATAGTTGTGATGCCTAGCTGCTGCCACTAAATGGGAACATAGAAAGTGGTACTGCCTTGGTTTACCACAAGTGCATTTGAAATCTTGGAGGATAACCACATGCATCCTCGACTCTCGGACCTCGTCGTCGGACGTTGTACTGCCCCTATGCTCGACCTGATAAGTCCCTGTGGCATGGTCAAAACATGTAACCTCATGTGTGCCAGCCCTTTCATTTGCCTTCTCTAGGTGTGCCTTTGGTCTTGGAGCCCATATCTCTCCATCACTCCGCAACTTCAATGCATGGGCATGTCTATCGTTGAACCAGGCAACAAGCTTGTAGAAGGTGAATTGAACGATTGCATTCATGGGCATACCACATATCCCCAATAGCAACGTATTGAATGACTCCGCCATGTTGCTGCACTAAAACTCATACCTCCATCCATCAGCGTCATGAGCTCTTGTCCATTTCTCCAAATCCCTCATCAAACCTGTGAACCATTGTCTACCTTCTGCACTTGATGCGGTTCTGACCTGCTCCAACTTTTTCTAAAAGTACTTGTCCTCAAGCTGTCGAGCAGCCTCCTAGAACAGGTCAAAGTTATCCTTCACACCATCCTTCCGGAGTAGATTCTTGGCAAGGTGCCGAGTACACCAACGATGGTGCAAAGGTGCATACCCATCTATCTACTCTCGCACGGCATTAAGTATGCCCTGGTGCCTATCAGATATGACGCCAACCTCCCTGCCAGGCCCAACCACATGTATCCAGACTAGCCTCAAGAACCATCACCAACTATCATTGTTCTCCTTCTCAACCAAAGCAAATGCCAAAGGAACCAACTTGTTGTTCGCGTCACAGGATATGGCTATAAGAAGTGTGCCCTGGTATTTGCCAATCAAGAATGTACCATCAATGGAGAAGATGGGACGATAGTGCCTAAAGGCCTCGACACACTAAGGGAAGCACCAAAAAGCACGAAAGAATGTATGCCTCCCATCCTTCCATGCATTTTGTTTTAGGATGTACACATAATGCATGCCTAGATTCACCGCTTTGATTGCATTGAAAAGTATTGGCAGCTGCTCGTACCCATCCTTTAGTCCCCATATCTCATCTTCCATGCTCGCTGCTTAGCCCTCCAAGTTTTACCATAAGTTATCACATAACCTCCATACAACGCCACAACGGTCATGATAATTGTCCTAACCTTCATGTTGGGTTCTCCCTGCAATATTCCCATCAACCGCTTGGCAATGAGGGTAGATGTCAACTGCCGATGCTTTAGTGTCAGCACAATTATGTGGCCCAACAACTTTTGTGATCTTCCACTTTCCGATGACCTTTTGCTTTCTTGCACAAACCCTCCATGGGCAGCATTTCTTATCACACACAACTGTGTAACGGCGCTCCGCATATGAATACAAGACCTTGTAAGGTCTCTTTTATATCCCTGCAAACGCCTGCAACCACCTCTTCAATGTAGGGAGGTCCTTGAATACCCTCCCATTTTCAATTACCATGTTAGGACCGGCCTCAGGAGCTTCTAGGAGCTCATCATCATGTCCTTCTGCACACGCCTGATCGGAATGAGCAAGATCACTGAACTCGTGAACTCTTGGATCATGGCGGTCGAGAAAGATACGCCTCAGCCTCTCAACATCACTCTCTGTCAGCTCTCCAACAGGGCGATCATCATCAGAATCAAGAGCACTTTCCATCTCATATGGCTCCGAATCATTCATAATTTCAATCCTATTGGAGCCACGGAATCCATCTCCACAGTGCACTTGCGTAGCAACAGGGGGCAAATCCACATTATCAGGAATGTCTTCTGCAACATAAGTAGAGAAATGAGGAAAGAATGAAATAAATGGATGTAAGGAAGGGGGTAAGCTCCCAATAACCATGCGGATAAGACACTTACTCGGATGATTCTGTGTCAAAGGGATCTCATGAGGAGGATCTGCCACAACAACATGAGTCTGGCAAGCATCTCCAACTACCTCATTGGGGGCAGATTGAGCATCGGGAACCGTAGATGCAACCTCCACACCCATATCAGGTTCCAGGACAGGAGGGTCGAAGTGTGCCTGCTGACCCATTGGTGGGGAAAACCCATGAGGGATGAGATCAACTAACACCCGACACACAACCACATCCAAACATTGCAGCTGGCTCTTCATAGCCGATCTCACATAGTTCTCCCACTGATCTGCACATCTAATTGGGATCATTAGCCTGAGGATGTTGGGAGGAGAACCTAGGTGCAATACACCCTCAACTGCAATGTCATCATCATCATCTCCAAGGCAATGCAGCTCCTCCTGAGCCCTTGCAACCATCTCACTAAATGAAGGCCTATCATTGAACAGCATAGGCACGCTTTGCATGTCAACAAACTCAACATATCCATAGCGATTGCTTTCAACGGTGCCTCCATGATATATGGTCACTAGGTTGTCCATCTATTTCAAACACGTAACGAAACATATGTCCTTTAGTAAAAAATACACGCTAACTACTAACGTGAAGGTCTCTAGTATTTAGATAAGTAAATGTATACTATGTACTAAGTACTACATATATATACTAAGTACAAAATATATACCTATGTATGTATCTAACTATGTAATAACTATATACGAAAACTAGTTATACCAACATAAGTATCTATATATCTATCTAAATATCAATCTACCTATTACACCCTAACTATTGTTAACTAAGTACTAAATTACCAATTCAAAAGAATAAAGTAACTTACTTTACTGTGCAGTCGGTGGAGCATCGGTGGAGTGCAACAGCAAGCCGCCGGAGTGCCTTGGCGTGCCTAGGCCGGAGCTCCCGCGCACCTTGGCGTGGCGGGTAGGGGCGGGCATGGCACGGTGAAAACTCTAGTTTGGTTTTGGTTAATTGATGAAACCCTAAGTGCCAACCTAGTTTATTAAAGTGATTATGAGATAGGTAGCACTATTCCAAGTAGTAAAGCAAATGAAGATCATGACATGATGATGGTGATTCCATGGTGATGATCAAGTGCTTGGACTTGGAAAAGGAGAAAGGAAAACAAAAGGATTAAGGCAAAGGTATAAGTGGTAGAAGCCTTTTCGTTTCGGTGATCAAGACACTTAGCAAGTGTGATCACATTTAGGTTCGATAACCGTACTATTAAGAGTGGTGAAACTCGTATCAAAATGTGGTTATCAAAGTACCACTAGATGCTCTAACTCATTGCATATGCATTTAGGATCTAGTGGAGTGCTAACACACATGCACAAAGGTGATACACATTGTGTTTAGCACTTGGGAGCAAGGGTTCGAAACTCCACCGGTGGAGTGTCCGCCCGTACAGTGCGGATAGTCCGATGGTGCCACCGGCGCCCTATATAGAAAATACAAGGTTTCACAGAGTGCACCGGACGCTGGGATCCGGACGCTGGGGTCCTGCGTCCAGTCAGTAGCAATAGTGAGCACGCTGTCTTGGTCTTTTTTACCGGACGCTGGCATGAAGTGTGACCGAATGCTCAGGGCCTGCGTCTAGTTAGTGCTGATGTTTGCTGACGTGGTGGCGCACAGAGGAGACGGTGAGTGACCGGACGCTGGTTGAGTCGGTCGTGAATGGAACCTTACTGGAAACGACCGAACGCTGGGGTCCTACGTTCGGTCACTTTGAAGCAGCATGTCTGGTCACAACTTAAATGTACTAGTGACCGTTGAGATCGGGCGATCAATGTTTGAAGTAGGGGCCACGTATCACGCATCGCGTGACCGAACGCTGAGGTCCAGCGTCCGGTCACCCCGATTTTCAGTGGACTAAAGAGCCAACGGCTCTATTTTGTGGGGGCTTCTATTTAGGCCCCATGGCCGGCTCAAGCTCACTCTCTTAGCCATTTGCATTGACATAGTAACCTTGTGAGCTTACCCAAAGCCCTCCCACTCATCTCCATCATTGATTCATCATTTTTGTGAGATTAAGAGAGAATCCAAGTGCATTGTTTGAGTGATTGCATCTAGAGGCACTTGGTATTCGTGTTTCACTGACAGATTCACTTGTTTCTCTTGGTGGTTGCCGCCACCTAGATGGCTTGGAGCAGCGAGGATCATCAAGCGGAGGTTGGTGATTGTCTCCGACTCCGATCGTAGTGATTGTG